TTCCATACGAACACAGATATCTAATATATCTAATATATCTGTGTTCGTATGGAAAAGTAGCTTATGTCGAAAGGCTGACTTTAATATAAATCGGCATTTGCAGTATACGATTCCGAATGATTCGCTGGCGCTGAGCCGTTGAACAACTTTTAGAAAATAAACGTGCAAGAAATAGTTCCGATACTAGCAAGTCAATATTCTTATTAAGTCTCATCAAAAAATTCCTTGTCGTTTAAAGAATAAAAGGAATGCCGCATTATACTAAAGCCAACCCTTCGACATAAGCTACTTTTCCATATGAACACAGATATATAACTATCATATAGGGGAAATTGTCACCTTTGGTTTGGTTGATTATATAGAAAAACGTTATATGAACAGATTAAAGGAATTGTAATTTTTAATTTTTTTAAATTTGTTTGAGCAAAACCGGACTAGTGGTTCTCGAGTTATGTCAAAAAAAGACCACCAAAGGTGACAATTTCCCCTATATGATAGTTATATATATATCTCGATTCCTAGACGTGACCCAGCGAAACGCCGGGACAGGTATAACTTCTTTTTTACAGATATCACTTTCCCCGGTAGTTTGAACCTTTCCCGATCACTGACCCCTACCATTTGTCTCACAGTGTAATAGATTGGCGCTTACACATATGTTAATGTTTGGCCGAGCTTCTCCTCCAATTTGTGGTGTTCGTCCTAATCTATACTATAATAAAACTGTAGATTGTTTGTCTGTTTGTCTGTTAGATCTAACTAATCTCCGGAACTACTGAATGGATTTTCATGGGGCTTTAACTGGTATATAGAGAGTGACCTCGGACGTTACTTAGGCCGGTATTATCACTTGCAAAGCGAAAGAAAATATCGGCGAACTTCGCATTCTCGAATTATGAGATGCGAATCACTGGCGAATTCGCCGCAAAATGGCGAACGAGTGGCGAAAATGAATTTCGTGTATTACCACTAGCGAAAAAACGACATTCGCTTCGCTATAGCTGTCAATATTTGGCGACTGTTTTCTCGATTCGCACTTCAAAATGGAAAAGACGTTAGTAATTGGTTTTATATGTACATAATTTCATTAAATACAATACATTTTTCAGAATAAAACGAACAACAACGCAACAGTTTGAAAAGCTAGTGGAACTCATGCAAAATAATCCAGACGTTGCCAAGGGGATGGGAAATTTCGGCTCCTCAAAGAAGAGTAGGGCAGAATTGTGGGAAAAGTTTGCGGCCGAACTTAACGCCATCGGACCTCCAATGCGGAACGGACGTGAGTGGAATAAGGTAAGAATTGGGTTGAATTGTTTCCTAAGACAACTTAATAAATCCAGTTTCTTTTGTGTACTATTAAGGTTTGGCTAGACTACAAACTGAAGTTGAAGAAAAAAATTTCCACGAACCGACGGGAAACTGTTGCCACAGGAGGAGGTCCGTACGTCCAGCGAAGCCTCACACCTTTGGAGCAAACTGTGGATGAGCTGCTTCACCTACAGGAAGCAGTCAACCCCTCGGGCTCTACATTTGGAGCTAATATCCAAGAAACGGAGGGCAATGACAGAATGATTCTTCCCAGCCAGAAGCGCAGGACGAAGAAATGGATCTATCGGCTACGTCAACTCAGGCGAGAAGAAGAATGACAGTGGAGGACCGCGAAAACATTCGTTTGAGTGCGTTGGAGAGGCAGTCCGAGGTGCAAGAAATTCTTTGCTCAAGGGTATCAGGCATAGAAAAAAGACTAGAAGAAATTTCGAGATATGCTAGGAAAACATACGAAATAAAAAAAGAAAAACTAAACTTATTGAAGATGAAGGAACAGAGAAAGAAAGAAGAAAATTTAGAAAAAAAGAGACAACATAAAGAAAAGATGGAAATGAAGTTAAAGGAATTAGAACTAAAAACCTTAAAATACAGTAAGTGAATTCAACAAAGTTTAATCAAA